TTCTGGTCACATGGTTCTGATGGTGTGGTTCTGATGGTGTGGTTCTGATGGTGTCGTTCTGGTCACATGGTTCTGATGGTGTGGTTCTGATGGTGTGGTTCTGATGGTGTCGTTCTGGTCACATGGTTCTGATGGTGTGGTTCTGATGGTGTCGTTCTGGTCACATGGTTCTGATGGTGTGGTTCTGATGGTGTGGTTCTGGTCACATGGTTCTGATGGTGTGGTTCTGGTCACATGGTTCTGATGGTGTGGTTCTGGTCACATGGTTCTGATGGTGTGGTTCTGATGGTGTGGTTCTGGTCACATGGTTCTGATGGTGTGGTTCTGACGGGTCGGTGAGCTCAATAATTCCTTCTCTTTACATCAGATTCTAACCCTGCTGCTGTCTTTGGGTCAGAATAATGTTTTTATCTTTCTAAGTAAATCTAGAATTTATCTTTAAAAACTGTTTTCCAAACAGGAAGTGAAGTTTGTTTTAACTCCTCCAGTAAACCCAGCAGAACCATCGAACAGAACCTGTGGGCTTGGCCAAAGAGTGGATCGAGGGCACGAAGGGGGCGGGGCCAAATACCCCTCAGGAGAATTGGGACACACTACGCACTGGAACCCTTCAACAGGAACACACATTAGTGGAAGAACTGGGACTGATGTTCCGGAGGGAACAGGAAGACGTTTAATGGAGTTTCAAAGTAAAACTACAGAAACCCTTCACAATAAGAGACTGACTCTGTCACACATTAAAAAGAAAGTTGATGCAATGAAGCTTTTTAATGTTTCTGATATTTTCATTTTCATTTATCACTTCTTATGTTTTGCCAGCAGCTGTAAGTTTCTGAAATAAAAAAGTAAAATTCTCTCAGACGGGTTTGGACCGGATCCATTTAATAACAGATTTAATCTCCTCTGCTCGTTAACTCAGGTTAGCAGGCTGAGTTTTTATCTAATAAAGTCCTGCAGGGCTGGTTTCCAGGAACTGATGGGAGGTTCCTTCTGCCTCAGCAAGACCCTGACCCTGGACCTGACCCTGGACCTGATACTGGACCTGATACTGGACTCAGAGGGAGTGAGGCAACGAGTTGAGCAACATGAATGTTGGCAAAGAGCTGCAGCTCTGAGGTCAGAGAAGAAGAAGAATGAAGAGATGAGGAGGAGGAACGTGTGTTTGTTTGTCCCGTTGTGCTGCTCACACCTTCACARACAACCAGAGGAGCCTCCAGACCGTCTCTGCTGGTCCGGAGGCCCTGCTGGGACACAAAACCTGCTTTCACACCAAACAGGATCGGGTTTTTCTGAGGGTCAAAGAACCTGAGGAGGTCCTGAAGGAAAAACTGCTGGCATGATCGGAGCGGTGCCATGACCTGCACCGGGTCTGGATCAGGGTTTCAGAGACCTGCACCGGGTCTGGATCAGGGTTTCAGAGACCAGCACCAGGTCTGGATCAGGGTTTCAGAGACCAGCACCGGGTCTGGATCAGGGTTTCAGAGACCNGGTCTGGATCAGGGTTTCAGAGACCAGCACCGGGTCTGGATCAGGGTTTCAGAGACCAGCACTGACACAGTTTGTTGTAGAGGAAGATCGTTTTATGTTCAACCAATCAGAGAACAGAGAGCTCACAGGTGGAAGACCCACCTTTAAAGTTCTCGTGACATAAATGATCTTCAAACACAAAAAGTCAAAGAAAACATCTTAATATTTAAGAAACTTAACAAAAAACACGATTTTATCCTTTTTGTCACATAACAGACATATTTTCTTTTGAACCAGCCAAAGTGAAACAGGAAGTAAAACAGGAAGTGACATCAAAGGGGAACGCTTTAAGAAAAGGAACTCTGTGGTCTTTGTTGAAACGATTTTTAAAACTCTGAATCTTCTTCGTTCTCCGATAAAGACTCAAAATATTAAAAAACAAATTCTTCTCTACAATCTTGGTTGTTAGTGATCATTTCATCGCTTTGTTTACACGCAGACACTCCTCTCTGACATCACTTCCTGTTACTGAACATGTGAATATCTCAACAACTGTTCACCTCAGTGGTGTCATTTTTTCTGTAACATGTTTTTAATGTTATCTTTCCAAAAACAAATTCATATTTATTACAAAAACCTGACGTCACAGGTACTTTAATAAATGAATCTTTTTCTTTGTCCAAGAGTTTTACTATTGTTTACCAAATATTTCTATAACATTTAATGAGTGTAAGTTTTATTTGAAATGTTTTAATGTCTGATTWTAAACATTAGTTCATTTAATAAGTTTTGACCAGGAGAAGAAGGC